AAGTAATTGAAAAGTAAGTGGAGTCCACACAAAATTAAGAATTGAATTCCTGATTTTGGAGGAATTCAATTCTTGGGTGGGAGGTGGTATTCTAATTCCTGTAGAACTAACCTATTAGGAATTCATATTTTTTACCCATTATATCATCACACAAGTTTCAAAATTCCAAATTTGTCATCTACTCTAACCTAACAATGAGGACATTTTAATAATTAGTACCACTCCTACCATAATTCCATATGATTTAGTAAACAACTTCAATAGGAATTTGGAATCTAACTCCCCTCAATCCATATGGTTTAGTAAACAACTTCAATAGGAATTCGAAATCTAATTCTTTTCAATTCAATTCATCATCAATTCAATTTCTCCTAATCCAACTATGGATTAGTAAACATACCATTAGTGAAATGGCGGCACAAAAGCAGTTGGGCTGGACCTGAACCAAAAGATTTGTTTTTTGGGTCTGAGCACCAAAAGGTTTAGAAGCAAAATTTGCTAAAGAGGATGCCTCTAAACAAGCACACAGCTAAACAAATGGGAACCTATTTGCTAAAATAGGAAACCTAATATGAGAATATTTGTTTGTGGGAATTTTCTGTGTATTCTTCTCCTTGTAAGAGGTCATATTTATTATACAATGGAACTTTAATGGGCAAGTAAATAATAAATTCATATTTCTATTTATAGTAGGAAATTATAATTATAATGAGAATCCTTGGTGTGTAAGGAAAGAAAGTCAATGGTCCACAAGTCACGCCAACACTCCCCCTCACGTTGGTGTATAGATGTCGCCAATGTCCAACTGATCCAGTGAATTGTGGAACGCTTTATTAGAAATTGTCTTTGTCAAAATATCTGTCAATTGATCCTTGAACTTTACAAAAGGAATCTGAGTCACTTTAACTTCGGGCTTCTGTTTGATATAGTGTCGATTTACCTCAACATGTTTGGTGTGATCATATTGAACTGGATTCTATGCAATAGCGATTGCAGCATTGTTGTCACAAAAGATATCCATTACAGATGTAGGTCTATACACCAGTTCAGTAAGCAACCTCTTTAACCAAATGAGTTCGCAAATTCCTTTGGTCATACCTTTGAATTCGGCTTCTACACTGGATAAGGCCACCACCTTCTGTTTCTTGCTTCTCCATGTAACCAAATTACCTCTCACAAATGTGAAGTAACTGAATGTGGATTTCCTATCTGTTATACTTCCTGCCTAATATGCATCTGTGTAACCATCAATATTCAGATGATCATGTTTTGAGAACACAAGTCCTTTTCCGGGTGCAAACTTTATATATCTAAGTATCCGAATAACTACATTCATGTGGTCTTCACTCGGAGAATGTATGAATTGACTGACGAAACTCACCGCATAAGGAATGTCTGGCCTAGTATGAGACAAGTAGATCAATCTTCCCACTAACCGTTTGTATCTTTCTTTGTTAGTGGGAACTTGATCCGGGTATTCTCCAAGATAATGATTCTGAACAATAGGAGTGTCTACAGGTTTGCAATCTAGCATTCATGTGTCTGTCAATAAGTCCAATATATATTTCATTTTATTGAAAAATATGAATTGTTGTGATCGGGCCACCTCAATCCCCAAGAAATATTTGAGTCCACCTAGATTCTTCATCCCAAATTCAGTAGCCAAATTGTCTTGTAGCTGAGATATTTCATGTTTATCATTCCTAGTAATAATCATGTCATCAACATAAATTATTAGAACTGCTACCTTTCCTTTCTGATGTTTCAAGAATAAAATATGATCTAAGTTATTTTGTCTGAAACCATTGTCATTCATTGCTATGGTGAATCGTCCAAAACATGCATGTGGTGACTGTTTCAATCCATACAACGCCTTTAGTAATTTGCATATTGTTCCATTCTTAAGTTCAGGAGGAATGTCCATATACACCTCCTCTATGAGTTCTCCATCTTTACATCAAACTGGTGTAGTGACCAGTCCAAATTAGCTGTAAGGGACAGTAAGACTCTAACTGTGTTCAATTTTACAACTAGTGCAAAGGTTTCTTCATAATCTACACCATAAGTCTGTGTGTACCATTTTGCCACAAGTCTTGCCTTGTATCGCTCGATAGATCTATCCACATTCTGTTTTATGGTAAACACTCATCTACATCTAACAGTCTTTTTTCCACGTGATAAATTTTTCAGTGTCTAAGTTTGATTCTTCTCAAGAGCTTTCATCTCTTCATTTATAGCTTGAACCTACTTAGGATCTTTAAGTGCTTCAGTAACCTTGGTTGGGATATGAATAACAGACAACTGATGCACAAAGGCCTTGAGTGGTTCATATAGCTTCTCAGTGGATACATGATTCACAATTGGATACTTTGATGTCTTGCTAATATCAGGTGAATAATGATTTGGTGGCTTTCCACAATTCTGCCTGAAAGGTAATTGGTATCCAATAGATTTATCCTCTAAATTCACTAGTGTAGTAGGAGCAGTTACCCCAATGATATTCTCAGGAGATTGTTCTGTTGGTACTGTTGAGTTAGATGGGGTCTTCATCTTGTTGTTATGTATTGTTCGTAGGTGTGGGACTTGGATCAGAAACATCTTCATAGGGATCATGGGGGTCAGGCGATTGATCGCTATGAATGGGTGATTGATCGCTTTTTGGCAGAGAGTAATCTCGTGCTCCGGACTCGGGACTATTGATCATTTTTGTACATAGGAAAAAATTTTTGTTTTCCAAGTTGGTCTAATTTTGCTCTTCCCTTCGTATCTCTCCATGAAGCGTAGAATTGGATGATGGGTCATGGAAGAACAACTCAGATTCCAGAAAGGTCACATCTAAAGCGACATAGGTACGTCGGGTAGGAGAGTGATAACAGCGGTAACCTTTCTGATGAGTGACATAACCTATAAAAGCACAATGAAGCGCACAGGGATCAAGTTTGCGACTTTGATTTTTGTGGAGATGAACAAAAGCAATACATCCAAAGATTCGAGGTGTGAGTACCAAAACAAAGGGCAGGGGCCCGTATTGTGCAAGCACTTGTAAGGATGTTTTAAAGGTCAATGCACTAGAAGGCATGTGATTGATTAGGTGAACTACAGTGACAATAGCATCATCCCAGTGATGACAAGGAACATGAGTGCCAATCAGAAGTGCTCAATCGGTTTCAAGAAGATGTTGATTCTCTCATTCAGCAACACCATTTTGTTATGGTGTCTAAGGACAAGTCGTCTCATGGATAATTCCATGTTGTTGGAAATAAGCCTGAAAGTCATGATTGACAAATTCTCCACCATTATCTAACGAAGAATCTGTTTTTGAGCATTGAGCTGAGTTTTCATTTGTTTGTGAAAGAACTGAAAACGGAAAAACACTTCGTTTTTATTCTTCAGCAAATAAAGTAATGTCATCCGTGTACAATCATCTATGAATGTGACAAACCACCGAACTCCAGAAAGAGCAGTGATAGGTGAAGGTTCTCAAACATCATTGTGAATTAACGTAAACGGAATAGTACATTTGTTCGTTCTCAACGGATAGGGCACATAGTGACTCTTGGTCAAAATACAAGTATCACATGTGAAGTCAAAGTCCTTGAAACTTGAGAATAAATCTAGTATAAGATGCTTCATATAACTAAAAGACGGATGTCCCAATCGACAGTACCACAACCAGATTTGCTTTTGTTTGCTGTCAAGGGATGCGTCACATTGTTAGCCATGCCGGGACTGAAGTCATCTACATAATATAGCCCCCCTCTCTTAGTACCACAACCAAGAATCTTCTTAGTGTGAATATCCTGAAGCAAACAAAAATTTGGGTAAATGAGTACACAACAATTCAATTGTTCAGTAAGCTAACCAACGGACATCAATTTATTGGATAAAGATGGAACAAGTAAAGTATTAGACAGTGTGAGAAAGGATGAGAATGCAACAGTGTCAGCCCCTATCACAAGATAAGTAACTTCATTGGCGTCAGCAATACAAGTTCATCAGGGTTGTGTAGTATTCAGAAAATAATTAGGATAAAATGTCATATGATCAGTTGCACCGGAATCAATTATCCAACTTTTGGAATCAATCTTTCCCGAAGTATGGAATTCATAACCAGTACCATTACTAGTCGTATCACGTTGTGTTCGATCTTTGAGAGTAGCCCACCATTCGGGATAGCCATGCAATTTAAAACAAGTCTCACAAGTGTGTCTCAGATCACCACAATATGCGTAATCCCGTCCATGTGTTGGAGTTGTTAGTCGGGAAGTCATAATTTGTGCAACGGAAGATGCATAGGATACAGGTTTAGTAGGAATCCGAATTGGGATCTAAGCTTGAGTCGGGGTCGGAGTTGGAGTCGAAGTCGGGATCTGGGTCTGAATCAGAGGCAAATTCGGTGTCTAGGTCATCATCGGAGTTGGGGTCGAAGTCGTCGAAATAGAGTCCTAATTTAGGATCAAGTTCGAGGTCATCAAAATAGGATCTTGATTTAGGATCGGGTTCGAGGTCAAAGTCTGCATCTGTAGGAGCTGAGCTACCTGAGCACTCAACTCGACTATGGTTAGTTGAGAATAAGAGAATGAGTCGGTGGTGTTACTTCCATGGGGGTTGAAAAAAATCATCAACCCCCATAGCGGCAGGCGGAGGTTTGAAACTAGAGTCAGCAATTTCAAAATTGCCGCTCTGATACCATGCTAAAATATGAAATCCATGAGAATATTTGTTTGTAAGAATTTTTTGTGTATTCTACGCTTTATAGGAAGTCATATTTATAATACAACGGAATTTTAATGGGTAAGTAAATAATAAATTTTTATTTCTATTTATACTAAAAAATTAGAAATTAAAGTAAATCAATTATAATTATAATGAGAATTATAATTATAATGAGAATTGTTAGTGTCTAAGGAAATAAAGTCAATCCACCGCAGGTAACGCAAACTCCATTTAATAGGAGCAGATCGAGAACTCCCTGATACATCTTCCAGAATGTGTAAAAGCATATATAAGTCTACGCAGTGGCCAAACTTCAATTGGTCCGAGCAGTCCACAACATAAGGTACTCAACTGCTGCACTTCTTTCCCTTTTCTCACAAGGCCAAGAGAGAACCCAGAAACTCAGAGCCGAAGACTGATCAGTTTTCTCAGAAAGAGAGAGAAGGAGCCATGAACAAAAGGAACTTGTTACTGCTGAAGATCCTTCTGTTTCTCTTTGCCTTAAACTCTCTCTCTCTCTGCCTCTACTTCACTTCTCACTCCAGAACATTAACTCCAAGCCAAACCGACACCCAAGCCCGCCATTCTTTGTCCCTGAACCGCCTCCCCTTAACAGATCAAAATCGCCACCCGTACCGCTATTCGAAGCCATGGCCTATTTTGCCCTCTTACCTCCCTTGGTCTCAGACAACCCAAGTTCCCTTTCGCTCCTGCGAGGCCTATTTTGGCAATGGGTTCACTAACAGAGTCGATCTCTTAAAACCCAAGAAGGATTTGACCTTGAATCGCATGGGTTGGTTCAAGTGCTGGTTCAGTGAGACCTTGAGAAGCTCAGTATGTGAAGGAGGGGGGCTCAGAATGGACCCAGGGAAGATTAAAATGTCAAGAGGTGGTGAGATTTTGGAGGAGGTCATTGGGAGACGAGAGGAAGAGGAGCTGCCTGAGTTCCAAACCGGTGCCTTTCAGATAGACGGAGGAGATGGGATTAGTGGAGAGGATCAAAGGCTTGTGACCCAAGAGTTTCTTGATGAGTATGTGCCTCATGGTGAGATTGAGAAACACACCATGAGAGAACTGATTGGGTCTGTTCGGATCGTGCCCACCACAGAGCTTCAGTGCAATGAGGTTAGTTGGGTTTTGGTAGTTTCTATTTTTGGATTTGGCAGTTGATTATAATTATGAGAGGTTTTAATCCATTTGTTGTGAGGGTTGATGTGATTTTGGTTTATAGGGTTTCAAATTGCTGAGCTTTCTTTAAGGAACTGCTGTTTTTTGGGGGTTTTGTTAATTTTGTGTGAGTTTTGTGGTAGGTTTTGGTTTCCTGGGTTTGATTTGCATTATGGTAATGTAATCTACGTTTTGGGAGTTTCCAAGATTGGGGATTTCCTGTATGGGGGTCTGTTAAAATGATATTTGATGGTTTCGATTTTTCAAATCTGTGGAATTGAATGCATATGGTGCTGGAAGAAAATTTAATGGCCTAATTACTTGGAAGTAATGCAATGCAATTGTGAATGCAACTTTTGTTAATTACCGAATGATGGGGAGTTTCCTTATCTAAAGTGGATGCAGATTAATTGTCTGCTAAAATTTGGTGTTGAAATAATTTGTATAAAGAAAGAAAAAAAACTGCAACTTTGAGAGAATGGTTATAACTCAGCTCTTCTTTTTCTTTTTGTAATTGTAGTTAATGTTCGATAATGATTATAGTATTATTTTTCTTCTTTCTAAATCTGGTATAAAAGTCTGTACTTGCAGTGGATTGAGGAGCCAACACTTCTGGTGACACGCTTTGAGTATGCAAATCTTTTCCACACATTCACGGATTGGTATAGCGCTTATGTAGCTTCAAGAGTCACTGGCTTACCTAATCGACCTCATTTAGTCTTTGTAGATGGACACTGTGGGGTACGTGTGATTGACTTTTCTTCTTTGCATATTTTGTTCCTTTCGTAACATTTTCGTTATAATACTTCCCATTCTACTGGCTACACAAGTATGTATGTGCACACAATGCTAGGGGTGTAAATTAACTTTTTATCATGATTTATCATTCGAGGCATGCAATAGTTATTTTTTATTTCCTTTTTATTGAAAGGAAGAGGCATGCACTATTTCTTTTAACAATTTAAAGGAGTCCATATATTTTCTGGAGCAAGGAGGGCAGTTGATGTCCTTTTATATAAATGTTAAGAATATTACAATGATGATATTTCAGATGATGCTCTATACCCCTGGTTGCTGTAATCGCCTGTCTAAGTTTCAGTGTACCAAACTTGGCGTAAACCAAGAACACACCTTACAAGGCTCATGACTGATTGAGAGAAAATCAAAATATGGAACTCCTAAATTTTTTCTGAACTAATCCTCATTAGAAATGAGATCCTTTGTATATGTGATTAGATGGGATGAATAGAATTTTATCAGCCATAAGAGGAGGGACTTTATAGGTGAGCTGACTGTCAAGTTCTGATAGAAACCAGGACAGGGTACCAGGGAGCCTCTACAGTCCGTAATATATTGATAGTGATGCTCTTACTAAATATTTCTTCAATGGATGGTTTTCGCTTAAGATGGAAGCAGTGAGGATGTCCTCTTGAGGATAGAGGAGCATCATTTGTTGGTTATTCTGTTTTTGTTGTTCTATATTCAATTCTTCCTCCTAAGATTTCAATGTTACTATTTATAGGAGTATAATGCAGCAATACTTTTATCAAATTTCATCATTTATAGTGAAAAGCATGTTGAGTTTGTTCTGTTTGAATTCTGGTCAATGATTCCCTGTTTCTGATCTCTCTTACTTTGGTGGTCATTTTCAGGCATCTCTGGAAGAAACATGGAAAGCATTATTTTCTAGCCTTAGATATGCTAAAAACTTTAGTGGTCCAGTTTGTTTTCGTCATCTTATTCTCTCACCTTTGGGATATGAGACTCCACTCTTTAAGGGGCTGATTGAAGATATAAATTGTCATGGTGCATCTGCACCCGACCTGTGGCAACACCCTGATGACCAGAAAACTGCGCGATTATCAGAGTTTGGTGAAATGATTAAAGCCGCTTTTGGATTTCCAGTGCATAGACATCGTATTGAGAAGCCAGCCTCAGGTCATAATGTCCTTTTTGTTCGACGTGAAGATTATCTAGCCCATCCACGTCATCATGGTAAAGTTGAGTCGAGGCTAAGTAATGAACAAGAAGTGTTTGATGCCTTAAAGAGCTGGGCATCTAATCATAAGGAATGCAAAATAAACCTTGTGAATGGACTGTTTGCACACATGTCCATGAAAGAGCAAGTCCGGGCCATTCAAGATGCTTCTGTTATTATTGGTGCTCATGGTGCAGGTCTCACACACATAGTATCTGCAATGCCAAAAACCGTGATTCTGGAGATTATTAGCAGTCAATATAGACGGCCACATTTTGCATTAATTGCCCGGTGGAAAGGGCTGGAATATCATGCCATTAATCTTGAGGGGTCATTTGCCAGTCCACCATTTGTTATTGACAAGCTTAACAACATAATGAGAAGTCTTGGGTGCTGAAAATTATATGGTTTTGGCGGAAACAAATCCATCTCAATGCTGGGAAGCGGGAGTGATTGAGAATCCTTTCTGCTTTCTGTGTCTGTTCCATGTACCACCATTTCTGCTTCCTCAGGAGCTAAGGCCGTTTTACACAATTCAGATAGAAGCTTATTTTACTGAAGATAGAGTAGATAACCATTGTTCTTGGACAATTGATCTGTAATTTTAGGATTTACCTTGTGAAACTTAAAATGTGGCTACCTAAGCAATGGTATGGGAAACTTCAAGGGGTTGGCCTCACTTTGCAAAGAGATATGGGCATTGTGCAAGATTGGCCAAAAATCAGCTGAGGGAGGTAAAATAGTTTGTAGATGTGTGCGGGTATGGTATGATCCCTTGACACCCAAAATCATTGTGTTTTTGAGTTCATTTCTCAGGTAAATCGCCTGACCGGTTGAGGCATTGTGTTGCTTGTAGTATACTGATTCTTTTCTACTCACACCATATCATCTTGTACAACAGATTAAAGCGTGTAGGATTGTATCCGATTTTTGTTATATACTAATAAATTTGTTTCTTTTTCGTTGTTAAAACTAAGGACGATGTTGCATATGCCTTCAGCAATTTAGTCTCACACAGTTTCGTCAGAATAAAGCTTTCGAATGCTACGGATTGACAGGAAAATTACCAATGTACATGCATTTGCACAAAGGATTTGAATTCATTTGATGTGTAATATTTGCCACCTCAACAATTCACACCTATTCAATTGTGATGGAGGCACATGAATTGAGATGGTTCTTTCCAACTTAAGTGATCAAATTGAAGTGGTGGTTTTGAAAAGTACTTCAATTATTCTGTGGAACTGATGTTTCTAATGTCCAAACCACCAAACCTGAACCACTAAATTTAAGCTACACGACTAAGTGGTAGCCCTCCCTTCTTAAGCTGCTAAACCAAGAAACCTAAAAGTAAATTTAGGTTTTAGTCAAAAAACAAAAATTTCACTTTCGGAAAAAGCTAAATTTTTTTCGAAAAAGACAGAAAAACCTCTCAACTTTTAAATCAAAGACATGCAAATGTAAAAGATTCCTTAGGAAATCCAAAAATAAATAAAGGCAATTTTGTCCATTTTGACTTTTTTTACAAAATTTCTCTCTCCTTTGTGTTTTTCTAAAGTCTCCCAAACCTAAAACCGCTAAATCCTAAATCCCAAATCTTAAACCCTAAGCCATTAAACCACATTAAGGAATAACTAACAATACAGTCTCTTTTTACTCTCATTAAAAGAGATCTACAACGATTGGCTACTCTCACTACCAGCGTCAGGGCAGATTCACAACCTTGAGCCATAAGAATTTACGTGTGGCACCCAACTGTCAGCTGTCACGGGTATGGATTTATGTAAGAAATTACAGATCGCGCACCATCAAGCACTAGTGACACTACACACATTATAGGGACTTTACTAACTGAACCAACCCGCGTTGGCAAGATACCCACAAAGTTGTTGGTTGCAAGTCCAATATTAATCATCCTTGCTGTAGTGGCTTATAGTCTCCAATTTAGGGTATTGCAATTTGTGAGCTGTTTGCTATTATAAATTTGGGAAAGGCCTCAAACTCTTATCTTTTTGTTTTCTCAATTCTTTATATGATATGTGATCCATCTATAAAAGAGAGTTGATAAAAGGAAAAAAAAATATAGAAAAGACAAAAAATTGAATTCTGGTATGTTACAGTTAAGGGACATCGCAAAGCAAATTGACTTCTTGGTCTCTTTCCGTGGTAAAGGCAACAGCTTTCTCTGCGTCGTCTTTCCTTGCTCTGCCTGAGCCTCCGCGTTGTATTCCAAAAGGCGTAGCTCTCTCTCTCTTTCAGGTACGATTTCTCTTTGACCGATATTGAGCTCTCATCAATTGTCTCTCAAATAAAACGGGTATCAGCTTAATTCACTGCTTAAATCACCAATATGGAGTACCCTCTATGTATATGATGAAATGCCACACAGAGATGGTTGTTCTTAGAACTCATTGCGTATGTTTTCTTTTTCTTTGTACAAGTAATGGGTAGTTGACTCACATAAGTTTATATCTGCATAGAATTTCATTTGGAACCGCTTTGTTCTTTAAGTTTGGCTTGTGAGATTGTGTTTCTTGTTTGATGCATTGCATAGGGAAATTTGCAAGCAAAGGTCCGAGGAAATGGTGGTTTGCTTTCCGTCCACGCCCAAGAGGTTGGCTATGACAATAGGATGCTTCATTTCTGCTGCTGCTCTTTTTGCTTTTGGTGCTCATATCTCTTATGTCAATGTTGCCCCGCAACAAGCTCGAACCAAAGCTCGAAATGAGTTTGTGAGAGAACGGCTGAAACAGAAGTATGGCAAATGATAGAACACGCAGTATTGGCATATTGCAGTTGGGTTTTCGGATTGCATGCCGTTGAAAGAAAAAATGACACTTGAGTTGTGAATTTTATGGTCATACCATTCTGGGATGAACATCCTGCTCTTGTTTTTCTTTTCTTTTCTTTTTCTTTTTGTTTACATTGTACGACATACAACAGGGATGATAAATAATTTTGATGGCCATGATTTGATTGATTTGATTGCATTTGGATGCAATTGATAGGTTTGAGAATCATACTTGAATCTGAGTTTTAAAAATCTTTTGAGTGCAATTTGGTGCACAGCAATGGTTACTTTCACAAAAGCATGGTGGAAAGGTCTGGCTGCTCTGGTTTGCCATCCAAGCTCCACCATAAAGTGTTTCAAGCCCAAGCCACGACCCAGATCCCCACAAAAACAAAAACCAGAAGACCCTTTCTGCTTCTCCACCAAAGGGTGTTGTAATTGGAAAGGAAGTGCCTTCAAAACCCAAGGAAAAACCATGCCCCAAGGCAGCTTCTTCTTCTTCATCTGCAAGCAAGTCCAGAAAGAGCACGAAGACAAAAGCCTAAAAACCCATTAACTTGATCTTGGAGCTTGTTGGAGGGGACCCTTCCATTGGTGCTGTGGAGAGTATTATCTGCTCGGGTTGGGTTGGTGAAGTAGGCCTCAGAATTGAGAAGGTGTTGAGGGTGCACCAGAGTTTGGATGTTCTTCATGGTTTTGAAGAGTAAAGGAAGATGGTGAAATCCAAGTATGAAAAGGATCGGATTTGTAAGAGGGTGGAGGGTTTGGTGGTTGATGGGAATGAGTTTCTGCAATTCCATGGTGCAGCCATTACTTGTTCTTTAGGGATCAATGGCTTATCAACCATTTGTAAAAAGAAATGCTGCCAAGTTTGCAGGATAATAGCTTCTGGCTTTGACACCAAAGACAGGACTATTTCTTCGTCCACGACAGTTGGAAGGCACATGAGAAGGCTGCCAAGGAATGTGCTGGGAAAGGAGAGTGTGCAAGGAAGGCAATTGTGGTGTGTAGAGTGATTGCAGGGTGCATTGCTCATTATCATGCACATGGACTCATGGATGAGGAAGATGGTGAATTTGATTCTGCCATGGAATGGGGGGAGCAATTTAGTGAGCCCAAAAGGCTTGTGGTTTTGAATTCGGAGGCTGTGTTTCCATAAAATAAAAATCTTCCATGATTAGGAAGATAACAGATTTTCTTATGACTGGAAATCCATTTTTTGCACAAGCAAAGATAGATTTATATGCAAATAGCTGTATGCCTTCATTTTTTGCTCATATATCATCCTGAACTCTAAATTTATGAGAATGCCATACATCATCATGATATTTGTTAACTAAAAAAAGAACTCCCATTCTGTAGTGGTTCAAACAGAAGGCCAGGCAGAGAAAAATATAGAAGACCCCCCCACAAAAAAAGGATTGCAAAGAGTTCTTCAACTATTCTCATTTTGTGATGCACAGCAATGGATTGTATAGCGGCATACTAAAGACCAGCTGGTACCTGCAAGAGTCCAGTCTCCATCATGCTGTGATCAGTTCCCTTCTCGAAGGTTCAGTGCTAAAGTCATCTCAGCTGCTCATCCCGCAACCAGCATTGTCAAACGACTCAAACCAACGAACCACTCAAGAGAGCACCATGTCTTGATAACATAAGGGGATCCTTTTAGTTGACTTTCACTGTTACTCAGCATTTCTGCAGAACTTCTTGACTGAATCTCTGATATGACTATCAATGATATTGCTTGAAAGTCCGACTGTTCTGCAATTTACCACAGGTTGGAATATGTAATAAGTTATTACGGTACATTGAATATGAAAACAAAGTGGATTCTAGTAAAGTTGATTCATTATCAAATATTCTTATTATCATTATCAAATATTCTTTGATCACCTGAGACAATCACAAACTCAAGTTTCTTGAAGTGAGTTTGTCCCCGTGCAAGGTAATCTTCCAGCAATCAACTTGAAATATAAAAACAGAAAACCTTTTGGGCACCACTGCAAATAACCCCCAAACAGATAAATGAAACCATCAGCATTTCCAATATTAGTTCACAGAAACACATTAGTTGTACCAACAACATCTTAATTAATTTAAAGTTTGAATCAGCAGCTCAGTTACCTCTGAATTTATCATCCTGTGTAATTATCCCAAATGTTTCTGCTGTTTCACGAATCATGATACCACTCACTCCGGTGTAGGAAGTTACTTTACATTCAGCAACTGCCAGAAAATAGACAGGGAACTGCAGTAAGTACTGACAGAGAGTTGGAATTTCAACAAGCCATGGTACATAGGTCACTGTAGTGTCATAAGAATTTAGGATATGACTTGGACAGTTCTGATTAGAGGTGGATGAACAAAATATATGTTCATGACAAGAAAATCTTGATGGCTAACTGTTAACGAAACAAATTAAGAAATACACCTGAAATAATAGCACCATGTAGATCTGCAGTAAGAAGACATTGAGCCAGCTGATTCTTCCTGCAGTATTGAATGAAAGTATAGTTAATTACATCATCAAAGACCAAACAGATGCCAAGAATATTGCCCCCCCTAAAACTAAAATGCCGAAGAAAGAAAGAAAGAACAAAATTATTGACCATTAACTAAACATGAAAAAGCGCATAACTGTGACATCTGCAAAGAACAAGACATACTCACCCAGTAGTTTTCAGGAGTTGCACAATATAGTCTTTCCACATCTCATGCATTGGCTTAAATTTATCAAAGCTGTAATCCAAACACAGGCAAGCATCAGGGTGAATCTTTCAAAGTAGAAGGCAAAACATAACTAAAAAAAGTGAAACAAAATTCTTCAGATCTTATCATCAATCACACAAGACAAATCTCTCCAGCTACCGAAAGCAGAATAATGCAATCATAAACAGTAAAAACAATCCATTCCAATTCGAATTTTAAACTTGTGACTGTCAAGATCAGCAACAAGAATTTGGCCCAACCTATCCTTACTTTGACTTATTTTATGGAAGAAAAAAAAATATTGTCACACTCAACCATAAGCTGAAAAACACAAATCTCACCAATGGAAATCTTGGGGCAAATCAAACAATCCATGCCTTTTTTGCTGCTTCATCGACATGCATTTTTTCGAGCGCTTCGAATGAATCTGCAACGCCCTGGCACGAGAGCCAGTCGAAACGCCACGTCCTTGCACGTAATTGTCAAGGAGGATCCAATTGTCAATTCTCTTGCTTCTGGATCCTTGCATGTACTTCTGAGCCGAGTCTCCACTCTGAAGAAGCTCGTGCAAAACCTTATCAACTTTACTCTCCTTTCTACCAGAGACCTGCATTTAGCAAAGCAGATGCTAAGCCAACAAGTTAAAGCAAATTTTTTGCATCAATTCACAAACAAGTACCTCAACATTGGTTGTCAGCAGATTCTCATGTACAGATTGAGAGAGTTTTGCATACGTTGGACCGCTTTCGTCAATATCTGCAGATGGAATTACAAGCAAAACAAACACACAAAATTAATCCAATTTACCTAAATTAGATTAACAGAAGTTTATATCCACAAAACTGAAACAGTACCTTGTGAATTAACATAACCAGAAAAAGTGAAAGCCCCTACAAATAAGCCACAAGAAGAATAAAAATTAAGTAAATTCAAACTAATATACAAAATAAGAAATAAATCAGCAAAAACAAAGCTAAGATTCTGCTGTGAAAACCTTTCTTTGATGGCGTTGAACGTGAGGCTGATGCATTGGATGACTTTGCTGTAGAATCAACAGCCGAAGAAGTTGGGATATGCGATTTCTTTCCAGCTTCCTCGGTTTTTGGTCTCTTTACAGTCTTCTTTTTTTGTAAATCAAGTTCGGCTTGGGCAGCCTCGAACCTTCGCTCCAATGCTTTCAAAGTTCGTTGCCGTTGTTGATCTTCAACGACTGGCTCACCAGCCATAGCAGCTTGAAAAGATTCAACCTGCTTCCTTAGCTAAACAATGACACAGAAGCCTTAGGTACTTTCATCAAACACATGGCATGCACCAAAAACCAGAGTCTCGTTAGCTTGAGCGGCGCGCGCGAAGACGTTGAGAGCCAAAACGCACCGTTTGGTTAAGACGGAGATAACGCTAGGGTTGTTACAAGTTTGCCATTCGATGAGGAAGCGAGGTTGATGACGCACTCGTTTGGGCAAAGTTCAGACGATTTGGAATTGGTGCAGAAATTCAAAGACACAGAAAGGAGGCCTATGCAGATGTAGAATTCGAACATTTCCGTCGATATCTAAAAATTGAAATTGGCCTATGCAAATATATATCGTATAGCCGGGCGGCTATACTTGGCTTTTGCCCTTTTTTATTAAAAAAAATAGTCTCGCCGAACGGCTATACTTATTTTTGACACGTGGCGCCTAATCTCAAGGAGTGTTATCTTTTTTTATATATAAAATAGTATAGCCGGGCGGCAATACTACTTTGACACGTGGCGCCTAATCCCAAGGAGAATGATCCTCTCATATATATATGTATATACAGAGAGCTTCCATTGAGGGATCCTTCAAATAAGCTTATTTGAGGGACACCTCTTGTAGGCCCCACTCCGGATTGTATTTCATTAATCCAAACCGTCTATTTTGTAGATACTTATTCAAAGATCATCTCTACAAAAAATTACTTGAATCCGATTTCATTTGACCACTAAATTGAGTTATTGAAATTTTAGTACTTTCTTGAAGCACCGTGTTCATTGATTTTGTAAGACACAATTGGATGTCGAAACGGTTTCCGATTTGTCTAATTTTTTGTAAGGATGATCTATGAATGAAGACCTAAAAAATACATGGTTTGGATTATTGGGAAAAAAATTGTAGGGTACCCTAAAGGGCGTCCCTTAAATAAAATTATTTGAGGGATCCCTCAATAAAAGGGGACTGTATATATATATACACACACAGTATAGCCGTGCGCCTATACTTGGTTTTTTGAAATTTTTTTTAAAATAGTATAGCCGACCGGCTGTACACTGTTTTATTATTGTTTCTAAGAAAATAGTATAGCCATACGGCGATAATATATAAATATAATATTTTTACCGTATAGCCGTGCGGCCGTACTCCAAAAATAGAATATTTTAAAAGTATGGCCGCCTGGCTATACCGTTTAAGTAGCAAAATATGGATATCTCATTTTTAATTACTTGGATTAGTAGTTAG